TGGGAAAATTAAAACCCATTTTGTCCCTATTCTCAAGAATCACATTTACCAGAAGGAATTACAAGAAAAAAAGTTGTTGTAAGAAACAAGCTTGTTGGGCAATATATTCATTTCTTGTAATATTCTCATCATTTCTGACTTTCAAAAGTTGATCATTTTTGTCTTCTGACTCCCAAGTTTTTATAGAAAATGTATGTGATTAATCTGAAAATTTCAGTTTTCAAGCAAATTTTCATACTTTATTTTTTTTTTTGCAATTTTTTCATTGAAAATTTTTAAATTTGGAAATGATCAAGTTTTTGTTTAGAAAACTTCTGAGATGAATCTCAAAATTTTTGAGTTTTTCTAGCAATTTTTCAACTTTTTTAACTCAGAAATATTCCAAAGTTGAAACCAAGAAATATCAACATTTTTTCTAGTAAATTCCTGAGATTGACCTACAATTTTATGAGTTTTTTGTCTAGAACTTTTTTTTATTTTTATTTTTTACTTCTGAAGCTCCAAAAAATTTCCACATTTTTTCTAGAATTTTTTTTTTTTTTAAATTAATCTCAAAATTTCTAAGATTCTTAGCAAAATTTTAACTTTTGGAGCTCAGAGATTTTCATGTTTTTTTCTAGGACATTTCTGATATTAATCTAAAAGTTTTTTGTAGTAAATTTTGGCAGAATTTTACTCCTTTTTTCCTACATAGTTATATTTTATAAGGTGGAGCCCCACTTCCTAAGCAGCTTTTTAAAAGTGTAGCTTAACCTTCATTCCAGTTTTCTTCAGGTGGATCTCTCCTCTCCCAACAGATCCCAAAAACTGACAAACTCTCCATCGACAGAAACAAAAGAATCACATTTTTGTTATCTAATGTTGCAAATATTTAAACCCTTTCCTTCTGTTTTGTCTGAAATAAATAATGAATATTCCTCAGTTTAATTTCCTGGGCTGTAAAGGCCCTTGATTGGTTTTATTTCAGTTGTTGTTTTTTCAGAGATCCAGGGGAGCGTTTATGTGGGTCAGCCTGCATTCGTCTCCAGGCACTTCCTGCTTCTCGCGGAGGAAATTACTGCTCCTGATTTTCTTACACAGAGATTTTTGAGCTGCAATCCAATAGCAGAGATAGGAGGCGCGCAAACGAAGCCTCTCGACCCGAAACAAGCCCGTTTCTGTGCGCCGAAGACGGCAGACGGTGGCCGGATCGTTTTCCTGAAAATGTCACCTTAAAGCTGAAAGGCGAGCGGCCAGGAGACACCTTAGAAGGACCAGAGATGCTTATCGGTTTTATAGGCAACATTCAATTACCGGCTGATGATTCGCTGACCTTTCTGTTACCCACACACACACACACACACACACACACACACACGCCCAGACACCACTGATTTATTTTGTGCAGCTCCTTGACCATAACGACGGAGTTTTAGGGCCATTTAAGGGAAAAAAGGATCAAATTTCCACCAAAAAAATAAAACAGAAATTTTGAGATTAAACTCAAAAATTTTCTAGGAAAAAATAAGGAAATTTCTGCATTGTAAAATTAAAAAATTAGCTATTAAAGATCTCAAATATTTTGAAACTACTCTCAGAATATTTCTAGAAAAAAACTAAATTTCTGAGTTTGAAAAGTCAAAAGTTTAGTACAAAACTCAGAAAATTTTAAATTAATGTCAGAAATTTTCTAGAAAAACTTTCAAAAGTTGAAATGTTCAACTTTTAGGAAAATATGAGTTTGACAAATCAAAGATTGCTAGAAAAAAAATCTCAGAAATTTTACAGAAATAAACTCAAAATATTTTTGAGTTTCAAAAGGCAAAAAATTTTCAACTTGAAACTCAGAAATTACAAGAAGAAAAACACAAAAAAGAACTATTCTAGCTCTTTCTCATTAGAGCAACTTTTTCTTGAATTTTTAAGATGCTGTTGTGGTAAAATTGAATCTTTACTCCCCAAAGCTTATGAGTTTGTTCTTATAAATTAAAATTAGAAACCGGGCCCACCTCGTGTCTGCTGGACTTCGTTGTTCTCCCTGTCATCCCCCGGCGACCCAGGCTTGTAGGGCGTTCTGGTGGGAATGTCTTTGGGTGAAACGGGGTCAGACAGATCTGAAAGAACAACATGGACACGGATTAGCAGGCAATCAATCAATCAATCCATCAATTCCCCCATGGGGACAAATCAAGCATCTATCTTTATCTTTAAAGACACATCAGTAGCTGCTACCTGTATCGCCTGTCAATATGTGTCAATTAACTCACATTCATTACAGTTTTTTTAAGGTGCCACACAACTTTTAGCCAGTGGTTTTAAGGTGGAGCAGCATTAATAATGACATCGCTTCTTGTTTTAATGGGATTAAAAATGACGATAAATCACCAGATTTTAGCCTAATTTCACAGATTGGATTTATCCTCAACCTGAGCTGGATCTGGTGGAACCATTAGCTCCGGATCAGGAGAATACTGGAGCTGCTCGCGCTCCTGACGCGACGCTCTCAGGGTGCACAAACACTGCATCTGCTGGGCTATGAATCATGGGAATTATGCATGTAAACTAGATTAGCATATGTGTATGGAGTGCAGCCGACAGCGTGTGAGAGCAGCTGTAATGTGTGTTTGTGTATGCATTGGGTTGGCTGGATTACAGCCCCAGGTGTCATGGAGACGACGGAGCCGCCTCCTCTGACCTTGTTCGGAGTGCTGCACATCGCCTTTAGATGCTGCGATACTCACTCTGCCCCACTTTCATGACTATCTTCATGGACTTGGTCTTGCACACGCCCCCTTCCTGGTTGTCGATGCCCTCCATGGTGCCGTTGGATGTAGCTGCAGGGGGAAACGGAGAGAAGCTCGGGGTCAGAACGGGCGGAGGGCAGAAGGATTGCCAGGTCTGACTGATAGTTTCCATCCCAAACAGAAAGCAAACCAACTCCAAAAACACCAGCTGCTAATGAAACTCACAGTTAAAAGCACCAGATGTAGTCATACATATAAACGTAAATGTCATCGACATTGCAGAACGTTTTTGGTTGTAATTTATTACTTTCTGAGCAGAACCAGATCCCACTGTGTCAGCTAAGAGTCTGAACTCTTTGAACACAAACAGATTTTGTTTTTTGTGTCTCTGTCCTTTTCAATCATGCTTAACCAAAGACTAATCAAATTAACTAATACGATAAGTGCAACAGCGTGGCATTTTACGAAAAGTTTTGTGCTTTTCTGCCACCCATGACAACTGTTTCCAAAGAATTTCCTCTGAACACTTTCTAGAAACTCGCCAGATGTTGGGAAAAGTGGCACAAATGGTAACAATCCACCCAAAGCTTTCTTTCTAGCCCAAAATGTTCAAAATAAGTCAAATTGGTAAGAAAACCGCCCAATCTGGCAACACACTGCAAAGTGAAGTCACGCTTACAGCATCCCGCAAAAAGCAGCTTACCAACGATGACTTTAATTGGTGTTAGCTGTCAGGTTGTCAACATAACGCACTAGAGATATAGAAGAAAAATGGACGCTACAAAAACTAGAACAAGATCAGAAAAAAAGTTTTTATTAAGAGAAAAAAACTGCGATGGAGAGGGAAGTAGGTCAGCTACTTATGCTAGCTTGACTTTGATAACTTCACCACGTAGATGTGCTGTGGAATTCTGTGAGTTGCAATTCAGTAAGCAAAAATTTTAAAATATGCTAAACTCTGACAGATCAGTAGAACAAGTGTTGAAATTAGCTAACTAGCCTCCGTGTAGCTGTTGTTGTGTCTGAGAGCGAGAAGAACAGAAGAATACAGTGGTTCTGAGTTATTCTTCAACATTATTTTCCTCTTTGTTGTAGCACTGCACTAAATTAATAACATCTCCATGTTTTATTTTGCTAACAAAACAGTTCTACCGCGGCAGCCCGGCGATGGACGGCAGGTAAAAGAATCGTCTTTTCACCTGCCAGCGTTTTGCACATGCGCGAAATTTCTGGATGCAAACAATAAAATTCAACTTGTCTATGTGGAGATACATGTGAGGGGAAACAGATCCTTCCTCCGAGGAAGGATATGAGTCACTCCCCTTTAATAAAATCACAGTTTGCCTGTTCATCACCTCGGCCGCTTCTCTCCGGTGGAATATTTCACATCCCCTGAAGTCAATTAGCCTGAGTAATTGTGACTGTAATATGTCTAACTGCGCTGATGGGCCTTATGAAGGAGGCTGTTAGAGGAGCAGAGAGAGGGCGGCGATGACAGCAGACATGTTGGCAGGCTGCGGGTGGACTCAGCGCTTTATTGTGAATTAGTGCTAACGACACCCAGGAGAGCGGTGGCCGCTTATTAAAGAAGACGTTTTTTTTATTTGAAAAGCCTAAAATTGCTCAGATCTGAAAAGCAGACTCAGTTAGCGGGTTTAAAGGAGACTGAGACGGGCGGACAAAGAGAGCAGAAGCAGATAAGCAGACGGACAAGAACAGCAGAGACAACGAAGCTACCGAGATTTTAATAACTTTTCAGCAACAACAAAGAAACAATCTATGATTTTTCTTTGTATTGTGGTTGAATTTATCCGTCTCAAATGTTTTCTGGCTTACAATTATTTGGATAGCTAACACATAGAGCATAGACGTTAAAAATGAGCTAACAGACGCTACCGCTAACTAGCAGCTATTAGCTGTAGCCTCAACTGACAAAATGCTAACTGACAGAAAAAAAACTAGCGACTAAAAACAATTATTAAAATGGAAATAAAAGCAGCACACAAACAAAACCATGATTGAAATAGATTGAGAAATTCATAAACAAAAAAAAAGAAAAGAAAAAGAAAATTGCCCTTCAAAAAATATTGAAGGATCTGGAACTCAAAGACATTTTAAATATCCAAAATAAATAAACAAAACAACAAATAAAATTAATTATAAATAATTTTTTTAAAAAGTGCTAGCTGAAATCATCATCAAGTTTTTGGTAGAAGAGAGAAAAGAGAAAAACAAATCATGCAAATGTAATTTTTTTTTATTAATTGATTAATTGGTTATGAAGGAAGAGGATAGGAGGGGAAAATGTGCAAAAGCTCCACCTTTCTGCTCATTTGCTGCCTCTAGAGGTGAGTTGATGGAAGTGCATCCATATTAGATCATGAGTGAGTTGTGGGGGGCGGTGGGGGCAGCAGGGCTTGTGGTCTATCAGGTCAGTAACACAGAGGCTAACGAGCTGCCAGAGCTTAGAGGCCTGGCCTCCCGCCAGTGCTCAGTGGCCCGCATTCACATCCAACCGCCCCACCCACTCCTCTCCTCCGCTTTGCTTCCTCTCTTCCCTTCCTATCTGCCCATCAGACCTTTCGGATCCCACCTCCATCTATCGCGGCTGGGATTCAGTTTCTCCTTTTCTCCCTCCCTGCTGCTACCAATCATCTTGATCTGAATCCTCCTGCCTCAATAAGACGGTGATGTTAGCGGACGCGTAGCGCATGCTAACGAGGACCGGGCTCCTCGTCTCGCTGACCTGAAGCACATTACGGACAAAGCTGCTTAAAGGATCCCACCCCCCACTCTTCCTCTGCGTGTTTGTGTGTTTTCCTTCATAAACCTGTTAGCAAAACACACGACAATCCGGCAGGGACGCCCCGAACATCTTAACGGCAGAGAAGCGTTGGGAAGGGGTCAGAGTTCATGTGGCGGGAAAGAAAACATTTCCCCCTTAACAGAGGCTTCGGTTTCTGCAGAAAAATCAAAGACATTTTCAACTTTAAATTCCCGTTTTCCCATTTAAATGCGGGATAAAAACACAGCGGGGTCGGTGCCAAGGCTGCAGTCTCGGCGGGCCTGACTTGGATTTAAACAGAATGTGATTGTTGAATCGGCTCAGGCTGGCTGAATGACTTGGCCCTCCTCGGTCCAGTCAGACGGGGCCAAGCTGGAGCGGCCGGCAGGCGAGCTGGAAAGAGTTAACCGACTAATCCCAGCCCCTCCGAAATGGATTTAGGTAAAACTCCAGGAAGAGAGCAGGAAAAATAAAACATTTCATTCATTTGCTTTGGACAGTCAACACTGGGAAAAGCTAACAGGAATACCATGATCCACATTTTGTTGACTCTGATTTTATGCCATTCTGACTGAGTTATTTTATGTTTATTTCATATATTTAATCAAATGCTGATACGTCTTACAATATTTAATAATTTTACAGTGAATATTAGAAAAATAAAACTGGTTTGAAAAATTTATCACAATATAAGTGTTAATATCCATAGATAAACAGTTATTGATTAGTTTTTTGTTTTAAATATCTCAATCCAAATTGGATGCATGACATTTCCTGTTTTATCCACAGTTTTCACTCCACACTGTTTTTTTTTTTTTAATTATTATTTTAAGCTGTTGTGGCGAAACCTTAAACTGCTGCTGCACCAGTTACTCAAGAGGTTGTTGCTAGGTAACCACAGAGTGAGTGAGTTGCTAGGTAACCACAGAGTGAGTGAGTTGCTAGGTAACCACAGAGGAGTGAGTCAGTTGAGTGTAAAACTATTTTTAGAATCTGCAACTACCATATTTAACCCAAAAATTAAACCCATTGATTTATTTATTCTACTCCACTATTTCTTTGTGATAAAAGAAATCATCTTACACCACTGATTTAATCCAAATGTAATAAAAAACACAAGATCTGAGGTATTTTTTATATATAAAACTTCCTTTATAATTGTTAAATTCATGCCCAATCTGAGCAGGAGTTGTAATAGTAGCGGCTATGAGAGAAAAAGGAGGTTATTTTCAACATTAACGCAACTTTAATGTGAGGTTAGCTTGTAGAAACAGTTGATGCTAACGTTAGCACCTGCTATCATTGCTAACAAAAAGGCTACTCTGACAGAAAGATAGAAAAAAGGAGGAAGAAAGTTCAGAAGGAATCAGAGAGACAAAGAGAAAGTGGGAGCAAAGGAAGGAAAGAAAGACAGAAAGAAACAGATTGGTCCTAAGCAGATCCTAGCATATATCTGTGAAAGTGAAAAGAAAGTGAAAATCATGAGAGGTAAATCCTAAAATAAGCAGAATGAAGAAACAAATGTGTTTAAAATCCTGGACGCATCAACCTCCTCAGCTTTCTCCGAGTTCAGTTTCATTTTCTCCTGTTTGACAAATCAAGAAGGCAGAAAATCAGCCAGTTTAACACGACAGTCAATTGTTTTCGGATAGAGACGTCCTAAAACGCCTTCCTGTCTTTTGTACCATAAAATAGAAAAACCCAAATTGAAAAATCGACATAATTTCTTCACATTGTAGAAGAAATTCATATTAAACTTGTGATCAGTTTGAATTGACCTAATAAAACCGAGCTGCCATGTTTCCTGTGCAGGGACAGATTTACAGGGATGTAGGCCCCTGGACAGGAGACACTTTTGGCCCCCCCCATCCACTAAGAAAAACTTATTTTTACTAACGGAAATTACAGTAAATTAGAAGGTAAAAACTATACATCGGCAGGTATAAACTGATAGTTTAATAACTCCATGTTGTTTCCAAAGAAATTGACTGTAACTTCATAATTTACTTACTTTACTTTTCATAATTTACTTATCAAAGTCATAAAGTACTTGAATATTGTCAATATGCATAAAAGTCTCAAGGATATTAACACAATTCACCTAATTTGGGCCTATGAGTTTTCTATAAAGTACAATGTTTACAAAACCTGCAATCATTAAAGAAAATGCAAAAAAACTAAATCTTACCAAGTACTTTTGTCTACTTTCTAGTACAAATATCTTAGTAGACTTGAAATAAGACAAAAGTATGAATAACTTTTCAGCAACATATAGGAGCTTGTTATAATTCCTTAATTCCGACAG